ACCCCCACTGAAACTGAGAGTAAGATATACATAGCAAGAGACACCACATCTTGGCTGCTTCCAGATGGCACCCATGAATATTGTCAGTACTCCCTAGCTGGGTTCAAGACAGAAAATTCCTGCATTTCTAAGAATATACCGGGCAAGGGAAACATCACCCCCTGAAACCAGTACACTCAAAGCCCCCAGACAGCCAGAAATATTCCATTGTATTTCATGAGACTAACAAATCATAACATATTCCACATCTCTCCAATAAATGCAGTGGGCAAGTATTAATACATTCATGCATTAATTCATTTGTAGTTAATACAAATGAATACCCTTACAAGACATGAATTGCCATGAAATCATTTTAGAAGGTCAGCTGTTAAAAAGAGGCCAAGAAGATTTGATTTTTATGTTCACAAAATTATTTTTAAGTGTGTATTTCTATTCCAAGGCTAACCATCTCCTTTCTCTCTACTCAGAAATCCTCTACTATTTTAATAAAAACGCAATATTCTGCCTAAAAATCTGTCCATATTTTTGGACTAGGAAGCTTTCCACAGTAATTTACGTTGATTATTTTGGCATCTCAAGTAAAGGTACTGCTCATAGCCAGCTCAAAGCTTTTAAAAACCTCTTAATGTTCTGCTCAACTACCAGTTGGCTCAAGCATCTATGGATTCTGCATATATTTCTGTTTGGTGAAAAACAAATCCACACTCACAAAATCCCCAGCACACTGGACACCCTGTGAAGAAATAATAAATTGAGACACTATGTTAAATAGAAACATAGGGGCTTGGGGGTATTTTTGTTTTTTATCATGACCTTGGCTAATGCTAGTTCCAACTTTATCAGTGGGGAGAAAAAAAACATTTTGAATGGAGCATGTATTCTTTTCATTTTCAGTCTGCACTTGAAGCAACCAAGAGGCTCCCTTCAAAAAATGTCCACTTTATCTTCAGTCACATGCTTAAGAAACATTTCATTAATGCAAGCAAGCTGCTTTCAAGGTTATCTTTTTTTCTTTTCTTTCTTTTTTTTTTTTTTTGCCACATAACCAGTAAAATTTTGTATAAAAAAAAGACCCCATCTAAAATTCTGCCATGACCACAGGCATTAGAGACTCCAAGGACAACTCACCTAAGGGTAATTCAACAACTGGATGCTCAATTTCCCATTTCAACTTGCTCATAACAAAGCAGCTCTAAATGCAATTGCTGAGACAATACGGTGTGCCATATGGCTAAAACTGGATATTAAAATTGAGAATATCAATTACCAATCCACTAATGCTGAGAGCCAAAATCCATGGACAGTAAGAATTTAATCCAATTCAGTGCCCAGAACACGAGCTGAGCCCAGCGTGGAGGAGACAAATCTACTGCTGGTTTCACAGAGAGCAAACAACTCCCATTTTTTATTGCAGTAACTACAAAACCAGCTGAACCCAACACTTGCTTAACATCCCCAACCACAGCTCCAGGCCTGGTAGGAATCTACAAAAACAACAAAAGTTTCAGATGAATTGGCATCTGGTTTCACAGGGATTGAGAAATCATAACTAAGTTACTATTTAAGAAGCAGCAGTTTAGTTGTTTTCCACATGACCAAATCGAAGCACCAGGAAGTTACACAGTGCAGCCAACATCTTGCTTCATTTCAGGAAAAGGCATCCTGCAAACACAATATCTATTTCTACTATAATTAAAGGGCCTTGGAATTGCATTAGTTGAAGGGTTTTCTTATTCTAAGTAAACTGGTTTAATGGTTCAAGCTTTCAAATTTTTAATAGTTGTGGAGGGTTTCTTCTGGGATGATATTAAGAATAATGCTACACAAAATTTTATCCACTCCCTGATTATACAGAACTTCATTGATTACTTATACAAGAATTCTCATTAAGTCCAGATACAGCATCTCCATATTTCCATGAGAGACAGAGGTGATTTAAAAAACTGTTCTGCTAAGATTTCCTGTGGAATTTTAATTTACCATGTTGTCAAAGATTTCATGCTAGGATGCCTGCTACGTACTGACTTAGCAGCTGCAAGGACTCAACAAGGATAAATGTAATTTATCTTACCCAAAACAAAATCTCACTTCACTCTGCTCCTTTCTGATCCCGTACTAAAGGGCCAAAGTAGTAGAAACAAAAAAAATTGCACAAGTAATTTAAGGTTTAACAAGACATTAACATCAATGGAACTAAACAGCTTATTGGACAGTATTCTTAATTTTTAAAAAATGTTCTCAGAGGAATAAAATGCACTCAACTAATTTCAGCTTTTTTTTTTTTAATTAAGAATAATACCAGCACTGCAAGCCTCAACTGAAAATCAGCTCTGCTGTTCCCAGCTTCCTTCTGCATGATCTACAGCTGGGTTACTACAATAAACTAACAAACAACTGATTATACATTAAGTAATAGATAAACAGTAGTAAAATGTTTGATAATATCAAAGGTTTGGAGGTCACTTGAATACAGGAGACATAACAAGCATTTCTTATTTTTCTTGCTGGGAAGTGTATTGTTTTAAGCCTGAGTGCAGTACATCAAATATTAACCAAGCTATTTTATTTAGGCTACCAAAGTTAAGGTGTTTGGCACTGTAGTGAAATATCACAGGAGCTACAAATCAAAAGTCCATTTTTCTCAAAAGATACTAAAATCCACACGTAAAAGGCTTTAGAAATTTGCAGTGTTGTTTTGAAACAGACTACTCAGAGCTGTTTTAAGACCCCCCCCAGCCTTTCTTATTCTCGCCCATTAAAAGAACAGTTACCCAGAGGATGGCAGCAATTCTGGGTCAGCAGCAGCCTTAAACCCTCCACAAATTGTGAGTGTTCTGAAGCAGACAGCAGACTCTCTTGTGCCACACAAAGACACCTGTCTGCACAGGCTCTGATCTGAGATTACTTGGCCAGCAGAGACCCACGGCCCAGCAGCCTTTGTGTACCTGTGCTCTACGATTAAAAACTGGTTTTTAGCAACAGGCTTAATAAAAGCCAGGGACATTTTGGTGGTGTTGAGCAGGCACTGCGAGGTAAAAATGAAAATCGTGTCCCCCTTTATTCAGTTAAGAGCCTATGTGAACATTTCAATAAAACTATTTACTCCTCCCACCTAGTTCCTATCTGGAGGAGCTCACAACATATTAAGAAAAAAAAAAACCCCACAGATTTCTCACAGCAATCTTCCAAACGCTCCTCCTACCCCCACCCGAGAAGAGAAGAAAGCAAAGAGAATGAGAAAGTAAATCTAAAAGACAATTACGAAATAAGATCTAGTTTGGCAAAGCTGGGGTGAGGAGGAGTTGAAAAATGAGAGCTGCCTTGCTGCAAACGCCATCTTGTTGCAGCTACTGGGCCCAGGCACAGAGAGATCCATTCATTCACAGCAAAAAGAAAATCAAACAGACACCCTGGCTAATCTGCAGCCACCAAAACAACCACACTATTATCACCCCTTCTCCTTCTCCTCTCCTCAAGCACAAGGGAGAGAAATAAACTCTGATCTATCACATTTAGGGACGGATTTAGGTATTAACATATTATCTTCGTTTCCTCACGCGTATTTCACACACACATCGACAGCATTTTGTCTTGATTCACATCCTCGTGTCCAGATCAGCTTAAAATATGGGATAAATGTCTCACGATTAGGTGCAGATATCCTACAGCAGCAAAACGTTTTTAATTTTTCAGTCTTAAATCGCCTCCCCAAGTTGAGCCAACTATTCTCAAAAGCTGTTTCAATAATCACTTAAGCCTTACATTTACAGTGCTTTCCTCCTATTTCCTCCTGTGGAGACAATACAGAATAACGTGGCAGTCGGCACATCCTAGAAAGGATGCCTGGTTTAAAACGAGTCCCAGCCATGACTTTGTTAGAGAATAATGAAATATCACATTCGTTAAAATTTCAGTTCATCTTCAGGAATGATAAATTGACATCTTACAACAACCTCTACATCATCCTGATTTTCTTCTGGACAAGATTTTTTTGTTAATAAAATGCCTCATCTCTTTCATATTTACATGCAAGGCTTTACACATCTTCGTTCCCTACAAAGCTGTAGGATTAAAAACCCTACACCATCCTTTGCATGGATAAAAAAAAAATAAAAAAATGCTGAAATCCTTTCGATAAAAAGCTCGGAATTGAAGCAATATTTTAAACAACATTTCCACGGAGAAAACTCCATCTTTCTATTACAGCAAACACCCTCCATGATCTTCGTTATCGCTGCTACGGGCACACAAAAATATGCAGCACCGTAATACATGGGGGAACAAATATGCGGTTTGAATCCATCCTCGGTTCCGGTTCTAACGAGAACAAAACCTTCCCTACCCCTCCCTCGCCCAGCACACCCAGCATGAGCCCCATCTGCGAGCCCTCGGCTGGCTGGGGGTGCTGGAAGCAGCCTTACCCTGTTTGTCTCACCCCCGGCTCCTCTTAATCAGTTTTCCACCATTACAGCAGCCACACCATTGCTTTTTTTTTTTTTTTTTTTTTTTTTTTTTCCCCCTTGGATCTCTCTCCAGATATTCCCTCTGCCGGCTGGATCGCTCGGGAACTCGCCTTTTGTGGCTTAAGACAGGACCCCAAAACCGTCTAGCAGAGACCCCTACAGCGTAATTATAATTAAAAATGGAACCCCGCAAGATCCGAGGTCTCCTCCCTTTTCGCCTGGAAGCCTTCGAGAGGGAATCAGTCCCACCCCCACCTTTTTCCCCTCCTCCTCCAGCTACAAACACACTTCTTTTTTAGGGGAAGCTGGAGCCCCGAGGAGGTGGGAAGCGCGGGGGAGGGGGGCTATTTCCAACCCCGCCATACCGGGGGTCGCCGAGAACGGGGGCGATGAGGAGGCGGCGGCCCGGGGGGCCCCCGGTGCGGCGGCGGAAGGGGAGGACAAGGGAGGAAAGGAGAGGGAAAGGAGAAGTGCGGCAGGAGGAGGAAGCGCGGGGGAGGGGAAGGAGCGGGGCTGAGGGGGAGCCGAGGGAAGATGGCCCCGGGGTGGGGCCGGCCGGGGCTCGGCAGGCGGGAAACGCGTTCTGAGGGACCCCCGCCCTCCCCGCACCCCTCACACGGTTACCTGCCCTCCCGGCCGCTGCTCATGAACCGGGCCGGTCCGTCCGCCGCCCGCGGTCCTGCCCGCGTCCCGCCGGCCTGGGGAGGGAAGGGGGGCGGAGGAGGAGGAGGAGGCGGCGGAGGAGGAGCGGGGGAGCCGCCCGCGATGCGCCCGGCGGGTCCCGGGGAAGGCGGCAGAGCCGAGCGGGAAGGTGGGATCCGCGGGGGAGAGGGGGTGTCGCTGGGTCTCGACTCCTCCTCAGCCCGCTCAGCTCCCCGCAGCCATCGGGCAGCAGCAGCCTGGGCGCGGCGAACCTCCCTCCCTCCCCTCCTCCCTCCGCCCCGCCCGTGCTGCCCGCCCGGGAAACCCCGGCTCGGCTCCCACCCCGCCCCGGCCCGCCGCCCCGCGCAGCCCTGCCGCTCCCCGCCGACCCTCACCGGAGGCTCCGCCGCCCCGGCCGCCGCGAGCCTCACCGGAGGCTCCGCCGCCTCCACCGGGCACCCGCCCAGCGCGGCCGGGAGGGAGGGCGGGCGGTGCGCGCTCCCGGGAGCCTCGCGGTGCGCGCTCCCGCGCGGGCAACGCCCTTCGGCCCCGTACGCTGGCGGCGGCCGCGCGCTTCCCGCCTCCCGCCCGCGCTCCCGCGCGCTCCCTCCCCTCAGCGAACAAAGGGCGAGGGCGGGCGGCGGGCAGGGGGATCGCGGCCGCCCCGCCGGCCCTGCAGGCCGAAAACGAGTCTGAAAGAGCCGGACGTGAACAAAAAGACACGAAACTGAGCGCGCAAATGGTGTTCAAGCTCAAGGCTGGGAGAGGCAGAGCCTCCACGCCGTGTGAAATGGGAGTGCTCCGGGCTGCCGAGCGGGAAAGGGCGGGAGGGGCCACAGGCCTTAAAGTGCTGCTCACAAGAGGCTGGCAAGCAATAAATATCTTCATATCATCGTGTGAGGAGAGACTGCGGGAGCTGGGCCTGGTTAGTCTGGGAAGGGAAGGCTGAGGAGGGATCTCTTTAATGAATAAAAATATCTCCGAGGGGTGTCAGGGGATGGTGCCAGGCTCCTCAGCGGTGCCCGGCGACAGGACGGGGAGCAATGACTGTAAACTAAAGCAGAAGTTCCTCCTCAGCATGAGGAAGAGCTTCTTTCCATGAGGGTGGCAGGGAGCAGCTGTGCACGGGGTCTTCCTTTGTGGAGCCATCCCAAACCCACCTTGACATTGTTCCTATTTCATCTGCTCCAGGTGAAATAGGAACAATGCCTCGGCCAGGGTGATCTCCAGAGAGCCCTTCCAACCCTCACAAATCTGTGATTTGGTGATATTTCCCTCAGGAGCTTGATAAATAGCAACTCTGTAGCTTAGAATTTCTTTTTTTTTCCCCAGCTTTGCTTATAAAGGTACTCACGCAGCCAAAGTTTCCAGAGCATTCTTTTCATGTTCTCCTCACAGCATCCATCACTGCTCTGGAAGGGTTTGCATGAAGGAGAAAGTAGGAAAAAATAATAAGGAAGCATAAAATTTGCAATTTCTGTCTTGCAGATGGGACCTCACATAAACCAGGCAGGAGGCATGTTACCAAAATGGAATCATTTCCCACCAGAACTCATACTGAAACCCTAATTAATATTGAAAAGTAAGTAGAGAATACACTATTATGTCACTTTTCCTCCTATCACAGATCTAAATCTGGGGTTTTTCCCCAGTATTTGTTTATACATTGCTAAAAGGTGAGATTACTTGGCAACCAAAATAGGTTTATAGTAAAAGTAAAACAACCCACAGCATTATAGCCAATTTTCAATTAAAACGTATCCAGCACGAATACACTGTAATAAAATAAACAAAAGACCCCACAACACACAAAAACCCCTCAAACACAACCAAAAAAAGATGAATGAGGCCAATATTTCTTCTTCTGCAAACTCTTAGCCCAGAAGATTCTTGCTTCCCTAGAATTTAAACCAGTGTTCCTTCTGTCATGCCTTCTGAAGGGAGGTGTGGTTACCTTTAATTAGTAAAAGAAAGAGCAGGTTTGCCATTTAAACTGTAGGAAAGTGGATTGGCTATTATTCAGGTTGGCTGTTATGAAAAACTATTAGATCCTGGTGTGGTTAAGCCTTTGATTTATAATGATCAAATGTTTGTTTTTAAATAACTTTTATGATGCACTTAATTCATCACCTTGAGATTTACAAATAACAAAATAAGAAATTTACATAAATTATTCTTAAATTACTGTCCCAAATTGCTAATATTCTTTGCAGTAAGCATTTCTGTTCCACCCCTGAAATGTGGACAGGAATTATCCTGTTAAAATCTGTGGAACCACATTGTATGCAGATGGGGATGTCAGTGTTTCTGAGGCTAGAGATTCATCCAGCATCCCCATCTGGAAAATACTGATTAAATCTAAGTGCTTAAGAAACACCACAAGTTTATTAGACACTTGCAAAGTTGCCTACAGATTTCAAAAGCAGTTAAACACAATATTTTAGTCATTAAATCTAAGTGAGATTTATAGTAGGCAAGTTGCATGTTGGTTTTTTTAAAATTTTTTTAGTTAGAGATTGCTTTTTAGGCTTAGCAGAGGTCAAAATATCCTTATGGAATACCCCATTTATGTGGAAAAGAATGACCACTTAATACATTAGGCAAAAAAAGGTACTATACATAAAAGATTTTCTTTAAAAGTCCTTGTTTTGCAATGGAAAAATTCTCAATCATAAGAGATTTTGTGGAAAATTTTCAGCTAGTACTGGATCATACAGAAAAAAAAAATCTGTGTAATGAACAAAAATAACGTTCTGAGATTGATAGCAAATAGTAAATCACATTTTGCTTCTTTGACAAAATAGCTGCACTGAGATTTTCTTATTGGACTAGAACAGTTGCACTGTGAATTAATAATATCATAAATTACATAATTATAATTGATATAATTTTAAACTGATGCATGCTTTTTTCCCATTGCACGTTCTTTTCATACAGATGCTGCTTTTCCTCCTTAGATTTCTCTTACATGCTTTTACCAGTGGTACAGTTCTAATAACTAAACGTGGTTTGGGTTATTTTTAAAATAAAATGCACATTCAGGTCTTATCCTCTCCTAGGAATCTCTATTTTTTTTTTTTTTCATTCCAATTTTTATGCATTCTCTGTTTCATGAGAGCTAAAGGGAGTTTCTGTCCACAGGTCTGTGCTCTGCCATGTCTTCAAATCCATGGAATTTGGGTAAGGAGCTGGATCAGTCAGAAGAGTTTGTAGCACATTTACACAAATTCAATGCTTTCACCACACCTATTCTTTTGTAAAAATACAACTGTTGCAATAGTTCCTGTTTCTGATCCAGTGACTTCATTACATCTTGTTCTTAGTTTGATTGATGTGCAGTTACTCTGCAGTTTTGGGGAGGGATCCTGAGGGTTGGAGATGGTTGTTTACAGAGGGGAGGTTGTTCAGGTGGGCTTTGGTTTGTAAATCTCACTGGACAAATCAGTTTTGCTGCATTTTAAAACCTGGCAGAGGAATCCCACATTGCTGTGTGCAACAAGGTGATTTATTCTGCTGTCCTCATATAATCCTGTGCTGGAAGCTGCTGCACAGGCATTATTTTTATTTTTTTAATTTCTTTTTCATTTTTAATCCTAATTCTTCACACAGATCCATGAACTGCCATGGTTTGCATTGTTCAGTAGATGAATGTGCAAATCACCAGAATTAAGTGGACTTACCAGATATAAATTTCTCTCTTTCTATACACTGCAAAAATACTGTTTAAAACTACAAATTTAGCTGAAAACACCTGTGAATACTTGAAGATCTGGTATGGATAATTAATGAAACAAATTTTAATGTTTTTCTGTTAGTTCACTTTGAAGTTACAGTTTTGGTCCTGGGTTAGAGCTACAGAAAACCTCTCTGTAGAAAGGTTGCTCCACAGTTCTCCATTGCACAATTTCTTGCACCTTTTTCTCAATCAGCTGACATTAACCCCTTTGCAGGGAGCATCCTGAGTTAGGTGAAGCTTTGGGCAGTTTCACTTCTTAAGGTAATTAATTTCTGCATGCAAATACCATTGTTATAATCAAAATTTACGTGTTGTTACCTGAGTGAAAATATTGCACGATTCTTACAGTAAATCAAGATGCTCCTGGGCTCTGAAAGAATAACTGTCACCAAACAGGTATAAATTATGCTTTCTACAAAAAGGTGAAAAATCAGCACTTCTCAAAATTGTAGAGCTCCTCAGAGGGTGTAAGGATATTGCTGAAGTAATAAATAATTATGTTTTCCTCCTTTCTTTGTTACCTCAGATAAGTGTTTTAATAGACTGACTCAAAACTCCACCTCATATTCCAGAATCACACCATTCCCCATTCCATAACATTTTGTCTGCCTTTGTATCCTTTGATGGCTGCAGAGTGCATTCTGTGAACCCTGGAGAGAGCCAAGGAGACACTCACGTGATTTTGAATTAGTTTGAAGTTCTCCATTTGGTCCCTAAAGAAAAGGAGAACTCTCATTTCTCCTGACATTGCACCAAAATTAAAGGAAGCTTATACAATGTCTAAACTTCATCTGTGCTTCAATCCTGAGTCTATTCAGAACTCTTTTTTTTACTATTGTTTTATTTTTTAAACCCTAATTCAGAGCTGTTCCAACCTGCTGTTATTTGCCACTTCTTTAACAATTGGATGACAATCATCACTGCTACCTTCTGAGGAAGGACCCAGGTAGCAGAATCTCAAGATTATTCATTAGAGAAAATAAATAAGTAAAAGCAAACTGAACAGAAATCCTCAGTGGGGCCAGGCAGAGCAAAAAGTAGGAGTAGCTCAGTCTCCTTAGTTACATTCTGCATTCTCACAGTTTCTTTCAGTTTCCCTATTATTATGGAACAAAAGAGTTATTTTAAACACTTCTGAGAACATGGCATAAAATTAGCAAAACTGTGTTAGTCTGCAGAGAATATAATTGACAAGGTTTTAAGGTAAGGAGAGCTGGTTCTGAGAGTCTTTGTGTCAAATAGCAAAGTCCATACACCTGAGTTTATAACTGATGCAGTCATGGAATTCCTGAATTCCAGTCTTATGGGGAGGGTCAGGGTGGGTTATGTGTGAAATGAGTCAAACACAATTAATTCAGAATTGTTGAGAGACTTTGGAAGTCACTTCAAAATCCTTTGGTAAAATCCATTGCTGTGTAAGGGAAGCAGCAGAGTTGTGAAGGCCCAGAGCTTTCCTGGATGTGTTCCTGGGAATGTTATAATCATGTCTCTTACATGATTGTCTTGGAATATTTTGTCCTCAACAGAGGCAGAATTGGAGCAGGACACACTGGGCTTCATGTCCTTAAAAAGGCATTATCTCTAGTTCTGTTTTCTCACAAATTCTAATCTTGTTTTCTCACAAATTATGGCTGGAGGTGCTATCATTTCCAGGGAAAAAACCTTGCTCCTATTCCCTTGTGACCCATTTAAAAAAATCAGTGCCACAGGTATCTCTCACTTCAACAATAATACAAATTTATTCCTAGTTCCTATGTTTGGCAGAACTTGTAGCATTTTCCAAAGCCAAAAAATTACAAATACTGTTGTCTTAGACATAGGAGCTGATGCAGAGTGATGTGAAATTCTTTGGCCACCAACACCCAGCACTTTATGGAAAGAAGGGAGATGAAATGTTGGTGTTGCTTGAACCTGGATCTGCTGTTCCTCACAGTCAGCACCTGATTTTATGCTGTAATACAATCCTACAGTGTGACACAAATACGGACTTTGGTAATCTGTGTGGATACTTACTCAGCAAATCACAAAACTTCTCTGCTGGGAGAGCTGTGTTCTGAACTTTTCTTTTTTTTCATCTTTCAACTCTGAAGCTTAAACAGGTTGGTATGAGCATGCTTATGCACTTACCAAACACCAATTATCTTTTTTTTTTTCATTCTATTTAAACAAATCCATCTTGAGAGAGCCAAAAGAATAGCTCTGAGTGTTTTTTTCCTAGAATCAGAATTGTATCAGAGCTCTTTTCCATGTGCTGGGGATTATTCTGGTTTTCCTTTGTACTCAAGTATTTATTATGAGTTGACATTTTTGCTGTACCTTTAAACTTGCAAGCTGTAGCTTGGCTTTTAAAGGTCCTTTGTTGCTCTTGGAAAATAATATAATAGCAACAGAGGGAATTGTTATAATCATCTTAGAAATCAGATTCTGCATTGTGTGTTTTCACACATCTGTAAACACACCCAACCAATTGCACACATGCAGGTCTTCCTTTAAGTAGGTAACATTTGGGTTGCATGAAGGCTGATCAAGCAGTTTGAGCTTAAAGCCTCATATTTCCACATTAAAACCTCATATTTCCCCATTAAAGCCTCATATTTCCCCACTTAAAGGGACTTTCCTCAAGGGGTTCATTGAGCAACAAACAGAAAAACAGCTGGGACTCAGGAGATGCTGGGAGTTTAGAATCCACACTGAGAATTCAACCTAGCTACTAAACTTTCCATGATGTCAGACACACCAGACCTGTGGTGATGTTTGAAATACCTTCAAAGACAAGAAAGAATTTGCTCACCTTGCTGTGTGTCAGATTCCCATGGAGCTCCCATCCCATTCTTCCATCCTTGACAGAGCAGTGTGGGAAAGTGGGCACAGCTGCATGTCCTAAGGAAGCTGCTGCCAACCATTTCTGTTCTCTCAAAGAGCCTGACCTGCAGCTGAAGGAGAACTTCAGTGCTGCTGCAAACAAAAATGCAGCTATAAAACAAAAATATTCATGGTCAGGGGACTTGTACCACTGTCCTTGGAGAACCCCTGTGAAGTCAAACAAAGCCTCATTGCCACAGAGAAGGTGTGCTTGGAAAGTTCAGTAGGCATTAATGGAATTGCAGTAGGTAATAAAATGAGTAAGTTCAGTGATGGTTACATCCCATACTCCAAAAATAAATATTTATTTGGGAAAATGTGCTGGAACCAAGCAAAACACAGTTCAGCTGCTGCTCAGAATGAAAGAACTTACAGCCAAGTTCTCATGTCCTTCAAGCAAGGGGCTGGGCTGCATTCTAAATGCACAAAAAAGAGAACTTTCCTGTGATCTCTGGGATCTTACAGTTACAGTAAATATCCCAAATCTTAAACCATTTGTCAGCAATTCTGTGAAACCCTTCCTTGGGAGGACCTGGTACAGAGAACATGCTTATAAAATTCATTTTTCCAAGCAGCAAAACAAAACTTACATAAAGTGTGACATCTCTCTAGCCACTGCTCAAGAGAACTGACAAAGTACAAACAGCCAAAACAGTTGGATTTTCAGAGGCTGAATGAATGTTTTAGTAAATAAACAACAATGAAATTTAGATTTATACAAAGACAATTACATATAATGGAAAAAAATAAGCCCCTCTACATGTATAGTTTTGCTTAGTCAAGCCAAAATATTTATTGAAGAAATAATTTTGATGGGAAATATTTTTATAAACCTTAAAACACAAACAAGTCTGGACTAAGAAGTTGCAAAGAGTCAAGAAATACATTAAAAAATAGATACTCCAAGTAACATAAACCACCCCCTTTCCCCAGTGATAACATTATCATGAACAAACACAAAGCTAGGAAGAAAACCCATAAAAACCCAGTGTTCTCAAAAAATCTTTAACTTTTCACTCGCTGAACAATCCAGTTTCAGACCAGAGAATAAAACCTACTTGTAGGTGATTATTGTGTGTTGAGAGGTGATGCTTGATTAAAGACATTTTTACTCAAGCACTGTCACAGCTGGAAATCAGCTCTTCCATTTCTGGTGGTGTTGTGCCAATCCCATAAAACAGAAAGGCCACTGGGCTTTTGTGGTTTCTGCCACAGTGCTGCCAGTAGGGATTTGAATCAGAATTTTTTTTTTTTTTTTCATTTTGTAAATTTTGCATTTGCAGCAGAAAAATCTGGATTTCAGGTTAGGGGTACTAAACTGCAAGTAACTTAAATTCCCCACTAACCTCAGCTTGGGAACATCCTAGAAAAGATCCAGCATTATCAATGTACTATTCAGCATTAACTAAAATAGACAAAAAGACAATTTTTAGTAAATGGACTTAGATCAGGATTTCAAATCTCTTAGATTACTGGGTAGTACTTCTAAGAATGGTTTTGTTTCCTTGAATTTAATATTTTAAAATAATAATTGAATAGTTTCAATTCTTCACATTTCGACCTTTTATTTATTTTTCCCCTATGGATTATGGGCTACCATCATAGCATACCTACAAATAATTTAGTTTATAAGGGGTTCAGAAAGAACCCCTTAGAGAAAAAACAAACCATGAAAAACAGT